CTGACTTAGATCAGCCCAGAGGTTGTTTCAGGATTCGATTTGTCAGTTAGCCACGCACTGACTTAGATCAGCCCAGAGGTTGTTTCAGGGTTCAATCTGTGAGTTAGCCACGCACTGACTTAGATGAACCCATATTCATTTGTCTTCTCATGTGCAACCGAGCACAAACTTTAAACAAAGAAATGATACTGAAATGTGGGAAAACATTACGTCAGAGCCGAAGAGGTCTATTAGTTTCTTCATTATTTTCAGAGGGAATAAAGCGTCGTACTGTTGGCTGTCCCCCACCATCAAGACGCGTTTGTCCAGCGGGTGAATCGAGCACTGATGACTGCAGCAAGTACAAACCTTGTCCAGGGTGTTTTTTATGCTGTCAACATCCTTGTGCTATGAGATGCTACGATCCGATCACACAACACTTCTACCGCTATCCACAGATAGGTGAGTCAGATGACAGACTTTTTAAGAGAGAATTCTTTTCGTATTCAGGCGGTGAGCGCCAAAAACTATTTTCTTGAAGAAAGGCTGTTGTACAAGACTAAAATCTTGTTATTCAGAAAGTTTAACTTGTTTGGAAGTGGAGATGACCGATGGAAGTGGAATCAAAGTGTTAAACCCAAAGCAAAAATTTTATTCGAAAATGAGGTTTAGGTCTTCATTTGCTCATTTCCCATATATTTTCTATAAAAAGTCTGACAAAGCAACATTCTAACACAAATGCAACAAAACGCATCTTTGTACGATTGAAAATACCGCTTCAAACAGGCATTTTATCATAGTACATCAGTTTCTGTTTAAAAATGGTTTTGAGTGTTAACCCAAAAGGAAAATTGGGATCAAAACTCATACGAAAGTCTAGTTTTTGGCGCTTTTTGGCGCTTTTTGCCATTATTGCTCGTCATTGAAAAAAATTTCTTCTTAATTATCATTGTTAAAATTTAAGTTAATTTCGTTTTCAGAGTTTTCTTCTTTGCTTTTCTTTTTTATTTTCTTTGATTATTATTATACAAAAAAAAAATTTTAGATTTGATAGAGACTATTATATTGCTAAGAATTTACCTTTCCAGACATTATTTATTCATTTCTTTCTATAGAATATGACTCTTTCCTTTATTGCTTTTTGCAGATTTTTCCTAGATAGCTGAAGCACTGAAAAATAGGACTCAGGTCACTGGAAAATAGAATCGCCAACTTGGGAGTTCTCCAGAGCTCATCACTGGGACCATAATCATCACTAAAATCATCACTAAAACTGGGAATAAAAGACCGTAAAAATAAAAAAAATTATAATATAAATAGTTTATTTGTTAAGTCCAATTTTTGGTATTTAATATTGAGTAATTAAAATAACCAGGACCATACTTCCAGACATCGAGTGCTGAACCGTCGTATGGACTTACGGCTACGCCGGAGATTTCGACCCCGACACCGCTATCGCGGCAGGAGTTACAGACTGATCAGGAAGCTCGGCAAAAGCCTAAGGGAGAGGTTAGTCGGCCCCTAGACCGTATATGATTAACCCCTTGCTATGACCAGCATACCCGATATGTAACTTGTATCACTGAGGATTAAGTTACCATTGTCTCCCTTTTCCATGTGGGATGCGTTTTGAACTAAAACCCGCCATCCAAACATTTTATTAGAGACGGAAAGTTGACTCTTTGTCTGACAAATGGTCGACTTTAATTTACAAAATTCCAAAACTATTACTGATTAAACCACTACAAAACACATACATGTGAAAGCACACTCCAAAGTGGAGACGTAGAAAGCGAAGGCATTTATAGTGTTAGTGTGGAATGCGAAAACAAAGGCTTTTGGAAACGCTTCTGACGTCATTCATACCGACACGTCTGTTTTTCACATGCGCAGGTGACTATACCACATTGTATCCTTAATTTCCGTTGGTATCTACGTTTTTAATAGTATAAAAGTGATACGTAAAAGGAGCGTTTCGAAAAGGCATTTGGTTTATAATTGCCTAAAACGAACTGATCGATGATGCGTAAGCATGGAAGGTCCTTCTTTCCAAATGGGATGCAATACGGCATTTTGTGATACGATGGTTTGTCGATGAAATTGAGGACATTGTGGTCCGTCCCTCTCACCCGGTTAGCTCTGTTGACAAGAGCGYCGGTCTGTTGTGCGGAAGGTCATGGCTGAAGCCTCGGCCGGACCAACACTCAGGGCCTTAAAATAACTGAGGAGAAGGTGCTGCCTTTGTAATTTCATCTGCAAATGGTTGGACTTTCAAGTGGCTCGGATGACCACGTTAATCGCGGTCCCGTCCCTAATTAACTAGAGACGTTAACAGAGGACCACAAGTTTATCAGTTGAATTACTGTCAAGTGCTATACTCTATGAGCAAAGTTATCTAATTTATTTATTTATTTAATTATTCATTCAT